CCTATATGCCTGGTTAGAATAGGAGAATCATGGTAGGTGTGGAGAAAGTATGTAATAAAGATTGAAGGCATCATCAGCTGTGAATGATTATCAGGATCCATCCCTATAAAATAAAGAAAACTATCCTTAGAGTGATATTGAGAATGTAAATGCTAAAATGGTAAGTCATTAGTAAGTGATGCAAAATTTTCAAACCCATCATGAAGTTTTCAAATCCATGGTTATCCTTATCTAAAAAATCCATAGATGTGGGAATAATAGGTTTGTTTAGAAACATGAGAAAAGAGTGAAGAAGGAAGAGGAGCTTAAAAATGGGTATTAGCATTAATTATAGGACTCCTTGAGTGATAAACAACATCAAAATCATATATTTGAAACTTCAAAGCTTACCAAAAATACAACCAACCAAGTTTTTCCACTTCAATAATGAAATAATTGCAACATGATCACTTTCTAATAATGTCCGAAAACTATATAAATATGTATGAAGTTTCTTAAAACCCTAAATTGCTACTAAACACTTATTCTTTGTTGTGAAGTAGTTCACCTCCACTGATTGTAATGTACAGTTGATATATGCAATAGGATGACACTAACCAGATACACTTAGACTCTTTTGCATTAATACACCTCCAAAACTGATATTAAAAGCATCTATACACAAAATGAAAGGTTAAATATAGTCAAGATATGCCAAAACTATAGGAGTCATCAATAACTCTTTGAGATTTTTAAATACTTGCTCATAGTCTATAAACCAGATAAAAAATGGCATTGATGACTTTAGCAACACTTGCAACGATGCAATGCAATTAAAAAGATAATCAACAAGATGATCGAGATACTATACTTTGCTTAGGAAGCACTGTATATCATTTACACATTTTAGAGTATAGAGCTTTAGAACATCCATAAATTTGTCATGATCAATTTGCAAGATCAAATTTGTTATAAGAAATATGGTATTCAAGATAAGTCATATCCTTGGACCCAAACACACACTTCGACTACATCAGCTTTAAACCAACTTTAACACCTTATGAACATCATAGATGTGTTCCTCCCACATCCCTTTCGAGTGGATCAAGATATCATTGATGAAGTTTGTAATCACCTCCGGCATATTGCAAAGAACCTTATCTATCATCTACTGGAAAGTTGCTGAAGCATTATTTAAACCAAACAGCATTACCAAGAACTTGTACAAACTAAATAGTGTACGACAAATAGCTTAGGAAAATTTTCTTCGGCCATTGGTACTTGTCAATAACTAAAAGAAAGATCTAATTTGGTGAATTACAACTTCTCCTCAACTGATCCAAGAGATTAGCAATGTGAGGAAGAGGGTACAAATCCATGATTATCACTTCATTTAATAGACAATAGTTGATGCAGAAACAAATACTTTCATCATGTTTATCACAAGATGAGATTCACATGACTCCACAACTTTCAAATAACACCTTCTTTTAACATCTCCTTGACGTTTGTATATAAAATTTTAATCTCTTTGGGTGACTGATGATGAATAGGAACCTTGATTTGACGAGCATCCCTAGTTGGAATAAGATGACATGTTGCAATTTTAACCCTAAACAACAGATTAAATTCAAAGAGTTCGGCATACTCCTTCATAAGGTGGTTAACCGCTGTAACACAAAGACCATCGAAGGGATCGAAAAAAGGAAGAGAGGAACAAGATAGAAATATAAGAGGAAGGAATAGTGAGACAAAAGTGATGAAAACAAAGGTAGAAGTAAAAAGACAAAAAGAACAAAAGTGAGAAGAATGAAGAAAATATAAGTATGAGATAAAGGGGAGAAGTCTTAAAATCACATTTAGTATGATTGTGCTGCGATCAATCTATACCAAGGATGAGGTCAAAAACTTGACTCGACATCACCCACAATGACAACAACTCAAGCTCAAAATCGCCCACACACATAATAAGGTCCACATCATCCCATACACATGTATGTATATGGTTTTTGCTATCAAAATTGAAAATTGGCTCTACCGCACAATGTAAATGTAACGTGTGACAATAGAAAGAAAACTTTAAGAAAAATAAAAGGGTCATTAACTTATTCATGCAAGGTCCTTCTGCTACTCACGTGACTCTTTATTTCCCAGAAGCATTTCAATGTCCAAACCTTCCCTTACAGCAACACCAATAGGACATTGTTGATGCTAAGGTCTCCATTTAGAAAATGGAAGTCACAAATATAGGAAACAAAGATAATACTAATAAGTGTGATTAACTTTATAACACATATAATAGCAAATATCACGGCTATGACCATGTCATTGCTCTTGTCCTTGAACTTGGGCAAAACCTCCATTGGAATAGGATTATCTCAAGAAGTGGAGCTAAAAAACATGCAACAAGAAGTGAAAAAAACAATGTCTCATAATGTTGTGCTAAGTAAAGAGTATCATCAAAGATGGCTAGAGTAAGTGCATGCATAAGTTTTATAAAATTTTGACAAAGCGTTGGCCATAACATTTTCAACTTGATCCACTTCGACATATTTAGCTCTACACGAAGTAAAAGGCTTTAGAAACCAATGCTAAATTGCATTATAAACTCAGATAGCCCTTGATAAAAATGATGCAATTGTTGAAAGACATCATCATAATCATTGATATGTCCAAATGCATGTTTGAAAATGTCTGGGAAAATACTCTAATCCTCACGAGTGGATGCACTCAAACCATTGTACCATTTTAGCATCATCCCTTTGAAATATGTGGGAAATTCACACAAACACTAAGTATTATCCTAAGAATGATATATAACAATCATTTTGAAGTGATCAAATAAATGGTATATGTCATCCATAAGATTTCTATGGAAGAATTTTGGCCAAATGCAAAGATTGGTAGCAAAAGTAAAAAGAGTTGTACCACGTGCCATAAATGCTATCATCAACTGAATTTGATTATTTAATTGCACTAACTACTACTTTAGAGTTGAAGGAAGAGGAGGGTACTACTCTACCATAAAGATGAACGAAAAGGAAAAAGTAAAAAAGAAGTTGAGAAAATTTATAACAAAATGGAGATTTAGACAATGCAAAACTTATATCTAAATAAAAATCCAAATCCTAACAGTCATCAAAGACCATTAAAATTTCCCTTTCACTTCCACCAATGTTAAATATATGGAATATGAAAAGAGAATATAAAAATGTGCATCCCAATATGTCAAAAACCCTAGTTTATATATAGAAGAGAGTACTCTAGATTAAAATCAATCGAATGGTTACCAAAATATTAGTATATGGCATAAACTGTACACACTTAAATTTTCTAATTATATAAATAAAAGTCTAATTTCCAGATTTTTACTGTAGTTTGTTATTATCTTGCCACCTAGTTCCACCAATAATGTATTTTGAACACCCACCTATACTCTAGAGTGTGTTACTCAATTGGTGGGATCAAGATAAAGAGAAAAAGACACTTAAAAGTCTTTCTGTCGGTGTGTAAACAAATCAAGGCTAGTAAATTCCACAGCCGCAAAGCCAACAACCCCAAACTTTGTGAAAGAAAAGGACTCTGCAGGTACCCATATTGTGCACTTGGATATCAGAAATATGGGACCGAGAATCCATCAACAGTGAAGATACCACCACCGACACCCCGCGCAAGGGAATATCCTCCGCCGGTCCGTTGGATATTCCACCGCGCTCTTTGCCCTCCTCAATTCGCGTTATTTCGTGGCGCCTGCCCCTCGCCGCCGGTGGAATCGCTCGATCCATCGATCCAGCTGCCGCGGCCGCCAACGATCGATCGCGCGCATCGCCATGGCGAGGTCGGTCTATTCTTCTCTCTAGATCTCGGGATTCCAGGCGCCGCGCGCCAGCTCCAGGGATTCCTGTGAGCTCCCGCGGGGATTTGCCAGGAATGCTGTGGCCCGGATGCTAGGGTTTGATCCATTTTGCCGGCAGGTGTGGCGAGCTGTGGTAGAGAAGGGAGCGATCGATGCTACAATGTCAACCCTAACTTTTTAGCGACGAGCGACGAGGGTGCTGTGTGTGTTCTTCGCGGGGGAATGGCAGCAAATGGCTACTGGGGGGCAATCACTTCCAGCACAGAGTGGTGCGAGAGGAATTACGAGCGCTCTCGCTACATTGCCGAGTTCTTCAACACGCTGTCCAATGTGCCGTGCATCCTCCTCGCCTTCATTGGCCTCTACAACTCAATCTCCCAGAGATTTGAGAAGCGATTCAGCGTCCTCCACCTCGCCACAATTGCGCTGTGCATCGGGAGCATGCTCTTCCACGCGACCCTCCAGCACGCGTAAGTTTTTAGTCCTTTCTTCTCCCTTTTTTTTTCTTTCTTTCAAGTTCTAGTTTTCTCGATCCGTTTTCGTTTTTTCAAGTTCTCAGCTCTCAAGTCTTTCTAAGTTTCCAGTTTTCTCGATCCATTTTCTTTCGTCGAAGTTCTTAGCTCTCAATTCTTTCCAAGCTTCCAGTTTTCTCGATCCTTTTTCTTTCAAGTTCTTAGCTTTCTCTAAGTTTCCAGTTTTCTTGATCCTTTTTCTTTCTTTCTAAGTCTTTCCAGTTTTCTCAAGTAGATTCAATCGTTCTCTTATCAGTTCTTCCTAAGCCAAGTTCTACTCCTACGATCTCTAAGACTTTTTGGTTTTCAGATCTATATGTTCTAAGTTCCAAAACTTTTTCTCTTCCAGGCAACAGCAGAGCGACGAGACTCCAATGGTCTGGGTGATGCTCCTCTACATCTACGTGCTCTACTCCCCGGACTGGCACTACCGCAGCACGATGCCGACGTTTCTCTTCATCTACGGTACCGTGTTTGCGATTCTCCACTCACAGTTTCGATTCGTCCTTGGTTTCGAGCTCCACTATCTGTTCCTGACGCTGCTGTGCCTCCCTCGGATGTACAAGTACTACATCCACTCCAAAGGCACTCCCGCTCGGCGCCTGGCTCGCTGGTGCATCATCACGACGCTGGTGGCAGCGTTTTGCTGGGTGATCGATCGAAACTTTTGCGGCAAAGTCAGTGCTCTCCCGGTGAATCCCCAGGGCCACGCTCTCTGGCACGTCTTGATGGGATTCACGTCCTACTTCGCCAACATGTTCTTACAGTTTTGTAGAGCTCAGCAATTGGATTGGTCTCCGGAGCTGCGGTATTTTTTCGGGCTTCTTCCTTACATCAAGGTGATCAAGCCCAGCATCGACGAGAAGGAAGAGTGAATTTACAAGAGAAAGAACACACACTGGGTGGTGGTGGTGGTGGTGGCGAGAAGGAAAGTTTTAAGATTACACTACACACACTCGAGGTTCTTTCGTTTCGATCTTTATTTTTCTCTCTTCTTGGATGATCTTGGATATGACTCTCTCGTTCTATCTCTCTTTCTCTTCTCTTTCTCTTGTTTAATTTTCGATTGTCTCGAAGATCGGATTGTGTTCTTCGTTGTTCGAGCTTTGGTTGGTGTATAGTAAAGAAAGGATATTCAAATTTTTGTCTTTCCGGAATGTAAGATCTAGATCTGGATCGTTGGTTTTGTTGACGGCTGCGATGGGGATGACCGTTGGGCTAACCCTCGCCAAAGGAGAGGAGAAGAAGGATTGATTCGTATGAATCGAAGGCGCTGAGCTAGGGTTCCAGGCGATGGCGGATCTCCATCGCGCACTCGCAAAAATAGGCGCCTAGCAGCGGCGATGCTCGTCTTCTGGGGCGAGCCACCAACAGGCAGAGAATCTCAAGTGGCAGCAGGATATGTTCCTCCGGCTTGACAACATGAAGGGTTTGTTCCAAGAGGGACTGGTCAGTGAATCGGATGTCGCGTCAGAAGATACTGGACAACATCGATGTTTGCTACGATGGAGGCGAGTACCCCCAAGTGGCGAGAGACAAGCTTCTGTTCCTCCAGGTACTTTTCATTGTTCTTAAGTTCTAGAGAGCGTGATTTTCTTGATGAACGCTGGGCTAACATAGTTTTCTTCTACTTCTAGGAGCTTCTGTGCGCGCGATGCATCTCGGAAGAAGAGTATCCCGCGGCGAAGAAGTCGCTTCTTTACAGGCTAGCAGCTCAAGGGGCGGAGATCAATTCCAGTGACATTGTCTTGTCGTGCCTGGCAGCCACAGCCAGTGCTCCAACTTCACCTGTGAGAGCAAGGATGAAGAATGCAGGAGATGATCCTCGGGAGAAGCTAAAGGACGAGGCAATGCAAAGAGTAGCGAAGAGCAAGTCCCCGGTGCAGCACTTGTTCGAAGCTGCAAGCAGAGTGGGAAGAATAACGAGAGAAGAGTTCCTCACGGACTGGACTCGACTTTATCAGTGCCAGAGACTAGAGTCTGACACCTCGGATCAATGCAGGTCGCCCCTCTTCCACTCTCCAAGCGGTTCCGTGTCCACGATGGAAAGCTCTTCCAACGGTTTCTTTTCTACGGTTGGAAACTCTCCAAAGGCTCCTCCATCCGCCGAAGCATGCTCAGACGATGATGGAAAGTCCTTCCAAGGCTCCCGCGTCTGCCGAAGCATGCTCAAAGAAGAACGGTTTCTTCTTTGCATCAGTCGAAGCATGCTCTAAGATGCCCAAGATAGAAATCCTGCAAAGGCTCCTCCATCAGCTGAAGCGTGCTCTAAGAACGGTTTTGCGTCTACGTTGGAAAGACCCGTCGAAGCTAGCTCTACAAAGAAGTTCCAAGCCGAGGGGGGAGCTTCTACTGACTTTTATATTGACAAGGTACATATCTCTCTTCTCGTTTGAGTGTGCATTAACTCTCGAAGTCTGTCCAGGTTCTTGGCGAAAACATTAAGGAGCTTGAGCGCGATCAACAGGCAGACAGTTCTATGATCATGACGCTGACTCATTGCAAATGGGTGCAGGAACGATCGAATAGATGCAATTGCCATGGAGCTGATGCGCTTCTTTCCAAAGTAAGTTCCTTGACATTCACATTAGATCTCTTTCGCTAACTTTCA